CACCCCGGCCCCGAGCCCGCACTCCAGGGGCCCTGCGGGCCGGAAGGGAGAATACCGGAGCCCGGGGCTATGGGGTGGGGGCCAAGGGATGGGGCGCGCGCCCCTGAGGGAGGAGGCTGAGCGCGCACAGGACCCCCCAGCGATCTCATTTTCTGGCCTTCAGGCTTGTCCCTCCTCCCCCAACCATCCTCTCCCCGCCACGGATTTCAAACTGAGAATTTGCTGGGCGCCCACGTGGGGCCTCCCGGCCACCCCACAGTCATTCATTCGGAGCCAGGCCTGGGCGGGGCGCTGATTCCCGCCCGGGGAAGTCGCTGGGCTCCAGCCAAGGTGCGCTCTGTCAGGAGGACTAACCATGGACCCGCGCACAAGTTCTGGGACTTCAGAGATGCAGCTTGCCGGTGTGAACCTCATTCTAGTCTCTGCTTCCCAGCAGAGTAAACGTGGACTCAGCAGGGGAGGTGACTCGAAAAAGCAGAGTCCAGTGCATCCTCTCCTTTAAACCTCACAACCTTCTAGGGTGGGGAATAAGGATCCCACCTTCTCTTACAGGAAATGATTTAAAGGAAGTGAAAATCCTGTAACCATGAAGAGTGGGTGCTCTGGTGGTGACCGCAACGCCCTGTCCTGGACGTTACGCCTACAGTTTAGTGAAGTTACCAAAAGGGCAGACGTAGGGTGACAACAGGGCCATAGCGTCAGAAACCAGATGGAGCATCACTGTGAGCACCACTGTGGGTTTGACTTCTGGAAGGCTCTAGAGGGAGTCTTCCTGGAATCCTAGCTACAGATACGTAGCTGGGCTTCAGAAAAGTCCACGTGGGTCAGACTCTACCCCTCATGGACCACCTGGCTCTGAGATGGTGGTCAGGGGATTTTTGGATGGTTATCAGAGATGACAAAAGGAGGAAGGAATAAAAATTAATGAATAGAAAAATGAGGTGAAGAGAAAGGTAATACACAATAAGAGATTGAACATAGTAATTATTTACATTAATCAATGGCAATTGATGTCATAAAAGTGTGTCTGATTGACTGAATGAAAGGCTACTATGATTTGTTATTTTTCACTCAGATAATTTTTAGAAGGGTTTTTGGGGATGTCCCTCAGAACCTGAAGGTCCCCAGACAGTGGACATGTGCTGAGGGAAACCTCCCCAGTTCTAAGAGCTGGGTGCTGTGGAAGCAGGTGCTGTGGAAAGGAAAGTCCCAGGGAAGATTCCAATGAAACAGACGAGGCAGTGTCTGGTGATGCAGCCAGGGGGATTGTCTGTGGGAAACTGTCTTGTATTTGTTTAAACATTTTTATTGATTTCATTTTTTGAGTAAGTAGTAACAGGGAAAGTCTGCTCTTCACTATCATTCACCCAGTTCCTTTTTCCCATCTGCATTCTAGGATTTGTTGCTTGAGTGTACATTCAGAGATGTGTGTGTGTGTGTGTGTGTGTAGCTCTGGTGGCTTATTGGTAAGAAACTGCCCTGCAATCCCAAAGACATGTGGTTTGGATCCACCAGCTTCTTCACAGGAGGAAGATGGGCAATCTCCTCCCCACAATTTATTGCTGTAAAACCCACTGGAGGGTCAGCTGTGTGTAAGTTATCACACACACACACACACACACACGATGTAAAGATGAAGACAAGATTCATCATGTTCCTGTTTCTCAAACTTGTTAACTAAAAAAGGAATCCTTAGGTTCTGCTCATTATTAATGCTCTCTGCTTCTCAGGGAAGGTAGCTCTGGTGACTTAGTGGTAAGGAGTTGCACAGCCAATCTAAAGGCACAGGGTTCAAATCCACTAGCTGCTACTCTGGGGAGAAAGATGGGCAATCTCAAATATGATTTACAGCCTTTGAAAACCCACTGGAGGGTCAGCTAGGAGTTGGTTACAGCTTGATTGTACACAACAATGGCAATGAGCTGTGAACTGAAAAAGGTTGGCTGTTTCTGTTCACCGAGAAGCACTTGGGAAGAAAGACCTGTTTTCTGTATCTGAAAAATCAGCCGTGGAAACTGGAGCGCTCTTCCATTCTGACACAAGGTTACCAAGAAGTGGAGTCCACTTCTCAGCTACCAGTGGTGATGGTTGACTACTCTCAGGGCTGTGTCCACCCACAGACCAGGCTGAACTGTCTTGCCCAAGGATACTGGGCAAACAAGGAGCCTACCTGGACCAGGTCTACAAATACACAAATGAAAGGAGCCAGGCTGGGCCTCTGGGAATTGACCCTTTGTGATTCTGACTCATTGGCCTCACCTTTCCAGACCTTTGCTTGTGGAGGAGAAAGTGAACAAGAATTTTTAGTTGAAACAGCCAGGCTATAAATGATGGTATCTAATTCATTAAGAATAAGTGGCCATCAAGGAGAGGAGCAAATGGGGGGGAGGGGAGAGGGGGTTGTGCGGGGAGAAGGGTGCAACAATGAATGAATGGAATCCCAAAATCTCTGTAGATGTTCATTGAAATGAAAAATAAACAACCTAAATTAAAAAAAAATAAAAATATATTGTAAAATAGAATTTATATGAATGATTGTACGAAATACAATGCAAATGAAAGATTGTATAAAGCACAATGTATATGAGTGAAACATACTGTAAAGGTATCATTCTATGAAAAATCAATAAAAAATATTATTTAAAAAAAAAAAGAATAAGTGGCCAGCTCTGGTGGCCTAGTGGCAAGAGTCTGCCCTGCAATCCCAGAGATACTCTGCTGGAGGAGAGACAATCTCCTTCTGTACCAGTCAGATCCGATTTGATGGTACACACACACACACACACACACACACTAATAATAATAATAAAAAGAATACGCATCCATACTCTTGGGCAGTTAATCCAGAAAAATATGCCTGTGAAAGCTGGTCAGTAAATAAGAAAAGACCAAAGAAGAACTGATGCCTTTGAATTGTGATGCTGGTGGAAAATAGTAATTATCCCATGGGCTGGAGAAGACCAAATCTGTCTTGGAAGAAGTGCAGCCAGGATGTTCCTCAGAAACCAGGAGGGTGAGACTTCATCTCACATGCTTTGGGGTGGTATCAGAAGGGACTATTCCCTCACAGTAACACGTCCCATGCTTGGAAATACAGAAAGCCATCACAGAAGAGAAAGATCCTCAAAAGGACAGATTGCCAGTGGCCACAACACAATGGATGTTGGAGAAGAGTACTGAGTAACTCAAGGTCTGCCGGAAGAACAAGTCTGTCTTGGATGAGAAGTGCAGCCAGGTGCTATTTAGAGGCAAGAGTGACGAAACTGCACGCAACATACTTTGGTCGCATTGTCTGGAGGGACTCATCTTTGGAGAAAGACGTGCTAGGAAAGGTGGAGGGTCAGAGGAAGACCCTCAACAAGATGATTTGGCACAGTGACTGTAACAGTGTGCTTAAGTGTACCGGAGAGAGTGAGGCTGTGGTGCAGGGGAGGGCAGGGTTCAGGTATGTTGGTCACAGGGTCGCTATGAATCGTAGTGAATATGAAAGTACCTAGCAACAGCAGTGGGTTCAAGTGTAGCACCCATTGTGAAGACGGTGCCAGACCAGGTGGTGTTTACTTCTGTTTTGCACTATGAGTGGGAACCAGTTCACCTAACAACATGTTCTTACAAAAATCTGTACAAGACTATTTGTAGCAGCTTTATTTTTAATAGGCAACATCTGAAAAGAACCTGAACATTCTTCAGTAGGTGGACAGTTAGCAAACCGTGATACATCCGGACCATGGAATGATGCTCAGCTACACAAAAAATTGTAAACAACTGCTAAAAACCACAACTATTGCAGATATTTTTCCAATTTTGCCAACACCATTTGTTAAAAAGGCTGTCGTTTCCCCACTTCTCTGATTTCATCTCCTTGTCAAAAATCAGTTGACCATAGATAGATGGGTTGATCTCTGGATTCTCAATT